GCATCTCAGTTGATGACAGACATCCCAAGCACGATGCAGAGGCAGGGAACAGGAAGAGAGCATCTCCGTCTTGTGAAGTGGCCCCTCTCCTCCTGCGCTTCCGTCCCTAGAGAGAGGTCAGACGGCCACAGAGCCCAAGGATAACAGGGTGTCGCTCAGGGAAGGGACTGGGTGGTTTTCCTTTTCCTCTTTGTACCTCTGCGGTTTTACTTTGTAACCATTTGGCTGGGGCGGAGGGGGGGGATATCTATGAAGTGATACTATGCTCTTCCTAAATAGTGCTTTAAGGTTTATTTTAATTCCTCTTACCCAGAAAGTGTTTCCCCAGGTCCAGGCTTGAGGCTTCCCTCTATACGAAAAAGCCTCCTACTCCATCCCTCTTGAAGACCAGGCTCCCAGCCCAGAGGAGACCGAAGCGTGGCCGAAGCACTCTTCACACGCAGTTGCATGCGTAGCTCCACTCACCACCCACTCAACACCCAGCTTCCTTCTCTCCCACAACCAGAATCACAACCTTCCAAGCCTGCTAATGATGTCCTCCAAATGTCCACCATATGGCATGTCCTGGTCCTACCTGCACTTGCCAAGCTAGCCAGAGCCTGGCCAGAGAGGAAGCCTGTCCTCAGCACCCTACGCAGGCTGTCCAGTGGGACTGGCAGGCAGGCTGTGGGGCCCTCACACCCCACTCCACCTGCCCAGTGCTGCCGTCCATCCCTCATCCAGCCGCAGGGCTGCTCCCAGGGTATGCCTCACCTTCTGCATGCCAGCTCCCATTAGAAAACCTCCTAGGCCCCGAGACACTGGGACTGCAGGCTCCTTCCTAGCCTTCTGGCTCATCTCAAACAGGACTCCATAAGGGAATTTTCCAGAGACACTGGGAGGCCACCTGCTCACCACTGTTGCAGGAGAGAGGACAGGGGCTGCAGAAAGGGTTTGAGGTAGGGGAGGGACACAGGAGGAGGAATTCTGGGGGCTGAAGTCACTGCCTGAGCTCCATTTCCAATGAACATCTCCAGCGCCAGCCTGCGCGGTGCCTGAAATTCTCCCCGTCCACACCACTCCTCGGAGTCCAGATGACGAAGTTCTGCTTAAAATGCAAATCATTTTCCCAGATGAGAAAACACATTAATAATCACACTAAATACTCATATAACACTTTATCCCATATCTCATTGCCTTCTTGAAACAGCCCCATGAGGCGGCAGAGGATTACCCCTCCCTGCAGACGAGACGCTGCAGTGAGTGAAGCTGCCCTGGCCACGCTGCAGCGCATGCGTGGACGGGAGGTGGCGACGCTGCAGCGCGTGCGCGGACGGGAGGCGGGTGCCCCGGGTTTCGGCGCCCCGGGTTTCGGCGCTGACTCTGTGGCTTCATCGCAGAATGAGTGCAGACCCTGTATCGTTTCAACCCTGTGTGTTTCGGCCACCTGAGGCCAGATCTCCATTAAGAGACAGATGCGATTTCTGATTCAGGAAGAATCTGGAGAAGAATGGTGGAGCCAGGGTGCTGCCTGAGCTCTGTGCAAGGTGTGGGGCCGCACGGGGAGGGTGGAGCAGCCTAGCGGGACGGCCGGCAGCCCTCAGCACAACAGCATTTGGTCGAGGCCCTGCTGTCCCTTGGGAAGTTAGATCACATGCCTTCTGAGGTTATAGCATCCAAGAATGGTGGAAATCAAGCAGAACACTGGTGTGGTTTGAGTAATTTTTGTCACTTTCCACACAATCCTGCAAGGGAGAGATGGGCTTCCACTAGGGCTAGCTCCTATGCAAACAGAGGGGGAAGGAAATACTACATTTTCTAACCCAGGTCTTGTGTAGGTTAAATGAGCATTTTTACAAAGCTAAAAAATTGCCAAATATGCCCCAAAGCTAAACAACAGCCAAAGTGAAACAGTTCTAAATGAGGGCTGTGGAGCAGGAACCCCAGCAGAAGTTAAAACTGTGACCCAAGACTTTACCAAGCATCCTGTAAGAACTTGGTGCAGACAAGGCAAGTCAATGCACCAGCAAGGATCAGGTGAAGAGTATTACCATTGTCACCATTAACTTAACAGCTAAGGGCACGGACTGAGTGACAGAGGCCAGTGAGCAAAACGGATGAATATTCAGGCCTAAAAACTGCATCTGGACACAAAGAAATGAGGCTGTGGTTATCTGCACGTACGATGACCAGAGGAAATAGGCTGTATGCCCACTGGAGTGTTGAAGGAACCGTTAATACATATCTAAAGAAATCTCAGTCCCGGTCTCAGACTACAAAAGCCTGAAAATACGCTGGATTCCCTGGTCCCACATCCCACACTGCCGGGTGTCAAAATCCTGCATCCTCTGGGAAGGACCAGCTCCCTAGTGCCCACATCAGAGGTGGCAATGGAGGATGATTGACAAGGAGGGCCCTTCTGAAGGCGGAGCCAAAAGCCAGGAAGTCGCGGTTCAAGGAGATGCTGCTGGAGACAGTGGATGGGGGCCACATGGACCAGCCAAGGAATCCAGTCTGCGGCTGGATAGAGAGGCCTTTTCACTCCTGCCTAGTAGGGCGGGTCCATCACTGTAAACCAGTGGTCTCTGTGTTTCTCTTTCCTCCCTTTTCTGAAGGAAGTTGACATTTTAAAAATTGTGGTTGTTTTATCTTTCCTCTCAAGGAGAAAATATAGGATAGGTTGGGAAAAAAAATGGCCTGTCTTTTAGTTCATAAGTCACCAGCCATAAAAAGCCACATCTGGGACTGATGGAGTGGACCGTCCACACACAAGCTAGGTGCAGAAACTGGGTGTGATTTGGGAGTGGTGGCTTGGGAATGAGAATGCGCTCTTTGTGGAAGAGCAATGTCTGTGGAAATTGGAGAAAACCCCAGTGGCAGATGCAGCAGACATTGCTAGGGGCCTTTCCCATATCCATTCTTCATTGGTGGCATATCCTTATTTTATTAAGGGTAGCAATGTGCCATCAAAAAACTACATTTCCCAGCTTCCCTTGCTGGTAGTTGTGGCCATGTGACTAAATGCTGACCAATGAAATGCAGACCGAAGATTATGTGTGATGTTCGTAGTGAAATGCCTTTTCTTCCCCCTTTTCTCTTTTCCCACTTTCTACCTGGAATATGAACATGATAGGTGGAGCTGCACTCACTGTCACTGTCTTAGTCCATGAGAAAACCTGAAAATTAAAATAACGTGACAAGAACACAGAACATAAGTATCAGTGAGGCCGCCATGGTACCCACCACGTTTGCTCAGTACCAGATTTCTATCACAGGACGGGCGAGAAGCAAACCTTCTGTTATGTTTAAGCCGTTGATCTTCTATATCCTCTTCTTTAGCTGGAAGTAGAACATAATTCTTACCTGATTCAAGCTCATCACCTACTCTCTTGGTGTCAATTTTAGCATCTGTAAAATGAGGATTAAAAAGACCCTATATCCAACTCTTCTTTGTGAGAATTTAAATGGCATAATATATTTTAAAAGTCCACCTCCAAACTTGTCACATAATAATTGCTGAGTAAATAGAAACTATTCCTGCAGTACATATATATATATTTATAAATATATATATAGAAACTATTCTATGCATATAATGCATACTATTGCTAGTAGCATTATTATTATTATTATATCATCACTAATGACTAGGTCAAGCCAAGATCAAAACATAAGTATTCTAACAGCCAAATCTTTGCTTTTGTAGTTTGTAATCTTACTAATTCTCAACACCTTACCCTGAGCTACAGATAGACTCAAAGCACCACAATAAAGGACAGAAATATTTGAGTACCAGATCAGGAAGGTTTGCTTCGAGCAGCAGGCAGAGGTTAGAGCGTGGTCAGCCTGCTTGTTCTGTAAAGAGCCTTCTAGTAAATGTTCTTGCTTTGCAGGCCATATGGGTTCTGTTGCAGGTATTCAATGTCGCCATCATAGCATAAAGGCAGCCACGGGCCATGTGTAAATGAAGGAACATGGCTATATTCCAATAAAACTTTATTTACCAAAAAGGCAACAGGCTGACTTTGGCCAGCAGGGCCTAGTTTGCCAATCCCCCACAGGGATGCCCTGTGAGAAAAGATGCAAAATAGACATGGAGGAGGCCCTAGTTTGATAGCAATCTGTCCCAAGGCCCGAAGAAGGTCACAGAGGCCCCTTTGCCCCTTCCAGCTTGTCCCCCAGCACTCAGCACCTCAACACCCTGCTCTTCCTGGGCTCAGAGCAAGGCGCGTGCAGCTGCACACCCCCTGGCTGAGCGTTTCCTCCTCACCCCCACTCCCTCTCACTGGACTGACTCCTACTCATCCTGCAGTTCCCAGCCTAGACGCTTAACTCTCCCACCCTTCAGAAAACCTTCCCGGCCCCGAGCCCAGGGCGCTGTGCCGCCTCGGCCAGTCGTCTCCTTTGTCACACGCGGCTCAGGCACAGACTCCCTGCTCATGCGCTAGGAGGATACTGCAGGGGCTCACGCTGCTTGCTCGGGTCGTCGGAGAAGGAAGTTTCAAGCTGGAGGTCAGACACGGGGGAGCCTGGCAGAATGCGAGGAGAAAGGAGCAGGAGTTTGGGGTCCCAGGGCCAGGCAGAGGCATGCAGGCAGCTGTGAGCACCTCCTCCTCACCTCCACTCCGCCCCAGCGAGCAGCCCAGTCCCACTCCCTGCAGGGCTCCGCCAGTGGCCGCATCACCAGCAGGCTGTTAACCTTGGTAATGAACAGCAACAACTTTATGGGCACCAGACATTGGCTGAGCTCATCAATTTTGTTCATAATAGAAAATTAATGCTTGAAGGCAGGGCACAGTGGTTCATGCCTGTAATGTCAGCACTTTGGCAGGCAGATGGCTTGGGGTCAGGAGTTCGAGACCAGTCTGACCAACATAGTGAGGTTCCATCTCTGCAAAATAAACATACAAAATATCAGCCAGATGTGGTGGTGCCCACCTGTAGTCCCAGCTACTCAGGAGGCTGAGGCATGAGAATTGCTTGAGCCTGGGAGGTGGAGGTTGCAGTGAGCCTAGATTGTGCCATTGCACTTCAGCCTGGGCAAAAAGAGCAAAACTCCATCTCAAAAGAAAAGAAAAAAGGAAATTAATGCTTGGAAAGAGTAAGCCAGCAGCAGTAAGGACCTCTGGTTGCACATTGTTCTGTGAGAAAAATGCACTAGGGAAGAAGAAAAGACACGCACAATATCCTTAAGGGTGAACAAGCTTTATCTCACATAAACGGTAATGCAGATAAAATACGCAAATGATGTAATACGCAAATTACAATGGGAAGGGGAGAAGGGAACAGATATATATATATATATTTACACTCAGCAGACTATGGAGGATTCACCCCCAGACTGGGACGCGGCAGCCTGGGTTCTGGAGCCGGACACTCATCCATGCACAGGTGAGGAGAGGTCGCGTGAAGCTTCAGTGGGTCTGGGACCCGAGGTCTGTTGTTACTTGTTACAAGTGGTTTGTCGTGAAGCCCAGTCATGAGGGCACTTCATGACTGGGCTTAAGGAACACAAAAAGGTCAACTTGTTTTTGCGATTGTCTGTTGTTTTTCAATACCTAACGGATAGGAATAAATTGAACTAGAGATTTATCCGAAACAGTGCTCAGGAACCCCTGAAGGGCTTCACACAACCTGTCCCAGGAATTGGTGACCACTGTCGGTGCCCACATTCAACTGAGTCCAAATTTAATACTTAACTTCTACTCCACACAGATATGAGCTGTGAGGAGCAGAGTCTCCCGACATTGAGCGTTATTTTCCCCTTTATTACCGTGCAGCAGAAGTCCTGTCTTCTTTTTACGGGGGTATTCTTTGTTTTCCAGTCCCAGGAATCCCTCTGTATTAGGGGGAGGTGGGGGAGGACGGTCTACCTCTGTCCTTTCCCCTCCCCACATGTCATTGGACTGAAGAGCGTATGGGCGCAGCCCAAGGCAGGCAGCTTTTCCTCCTCTGACGCTAACCCACCAGACGGCATCTGGTTCTCAAAGCAGAGCTTTGGGGAGTGGGGTGGGGGAGAAAATAGAAATGGAGAACAGAAGAAGGAGAGAAGGAGGGAGGGAGAGGGGAGAAACTGCAGCACTAACTGGCATTGACTGAGAGCCAAGCATGAGCTAAGCACATTATGGGCTTTACCTCTTTAATCTCATTTAACTTTCACAAGAATCCTCTGAAATTGGAATGATTTTCCGTGCTCTCGAGATGAGGAAACTGTGTCTCAGGGAAAGTAAGTAAGCTCTCAGCGCCTGTTACTCAAACCTGGGCCTTGAGACCCATGCCCCTGCTGCCCAGGGCAGCCCCCTCCATGGTGCCCACCGTGGCCACCGGCTCTGCAGCCCCGTGCTCACTCCTGTCCTGAGGCCCCGAGCTAGGGCTGCATTCTGGCATCCAGGCTCCATCTGGAGCTGCCGTGATTCCAGGGCGGCTCATGACTGTATAACTAAGGGGAAAGCAGGCGTCGCCAAACAGGACCAAGGGCAGCCTGCAGGAGCTGCGAAACCTCCACACAGATGCACCACGCTCCTCTGAGACGTGGGGAAGCCATGGGGCCTCCTGTGGAGAAGCACACCCCATCTGCACTGTAAGAGGAAGCATTTTGGTGAAGAAACAGTGCCTTATGCTCTTCACACAAATTCACCCAGACTCAGGAGTCAACAGCTGCTTGACTTTCCTGAAAACGGCTGGTGCAAGCCTTCTCCAGGAGCACATGAAGTGGCCAGCCATGGCTGCCTCTGCCGAGAGGAAAATATGCTTGAAACTAAATTGCTTCCAGAAAGGAACTGTAACAAATTGTAACGAATATTTTAGTTTGACCCTCCTGCTTGCTGTGTAGAAGGAACAGTGGTGAATTTTGGCTAGATATGGGGCCACTGGGGCAATGCGGGTTGGCTTAAGAGTGTGAGCTTCAGTGTAGGACAGACCAGGCTCAGGTCCCTACCCTGACCCTCACTGTGCTTACTGCAGATAAGTTATTCAGTCTCTGGGAGAGGCTCCATGCCCATCGGGGTAGTAATAGCCCTGACGCAGTCACTGTCAGGACGGAAGAGGTGACACATGGGTGGAACTAATCACTTGGTAAACCCCCATATGTGTGGGCAGTTACGGTGCAGAGACAATGCAGGCCTGATACTGGGAGGGCAGGTCAGTATCCTGCTGGGACAATTCTCAACATGTGTTTTTCCCTACAACCACCCTACGTCACCTACACTGAGACATAATTGAAATATGGCTTCTCCCAAAATTCAGGAAATCAGGGTCTAGAGAAGTTCTACTGTTAGGCATACAGCATGTATCATACAAATATACAGTGTCATATGGCCACTTCTGTTTCCCTCCACTCCACCCATCCCTCCTGCCCCGGCAGACCCAGCACGCTATGCCTGGAAACAGGAGAGCTTCACCGGGCACTTACGGAATCCACCAAGCATCTCCTCCTAAGGGCCACTAGGATCAGCCTGCAGACATGGGAAAGCACCAACTACCTTGTTTGCTGTGACGTTTCAGTGCATCACTCCTGTTCTCCTTGGGCATTTCTCTTGTGTAAGTGAATTGACATAGTGCTTGAATCCAGAAGGAGGGATCCTGGACTCCCCTCACAAGCTCCCGGGAGCTTAAGAAACCAGCTGACCATTTCCTGTTGTCAAATTGTTCTAGCAGCAGGAGTGCATCCAGCATAGACTCTCTCTGGTGTGAACTGGCCCGAAAGCTTTTACACCATCCTTTTGCAAGGAAGACGAGAAGCTTTACCGTGAAACAGTGCGGACAGCCCATGCATGACACAGATCCAGGTATTGCTCACTGCGATAGGAAAGGGCGTCGGGAGGCCGAGCACCTCCAGCAAGAGGTCTATGAGAAAAGATTATCTAGAGGGCGTCGCTTCCGTTCCCAACTCATCCCAGGCAGAGGTGATTCCCACCTTGCATTCAGGGCCACAAATGAACGGTCTTGCAAATATGCAGCACAGAAGAGCATCTTCATCCAGATCTCTTGCGTTAACTCTCATAGGAAACATTAAGGGCATGACCATCCCGTCCAAGGACTTTATCATGGTGTGTTTTAAATGCCATTCACCCTCCAGGTGACTCCTCTGCTCACAGAATAAGTTCTCTGTGGTCGTAAATCTATTAGCAAAATGAGGATGCAAATCCCAGTGACTTGAGCCTGCTGTTCGTATTTCTGAATAATCTGGGAATTTTGAAAGCTTGGAGGTGACTGACTCTCATTTTAAAATGTACCCAGGATTTATTTTAATTGGACACGACAAGGCCAACAGATCAGGAGATGATTGTCTTTGAAAAGAGAGTTTGTTACAGCTCCCAAGAGAAGGGGCAGGTCCACACCACCCCACTCAGGGCCACGTGGAGTCCACACCACCCCACTCAGGGCCGCGTGGAGAAGCACCAGGCTCAGTCAGGGATGGGGGCGAGAGGAGAACTTGAGCAAAACTCTTGGGAGCGGTGAAAAACAATGGGGAGGCAGGGTGAGCGGCTGGGCAGGCTTAGGCCTGGGTAGCTTAGGATTCCAGCAGGCTCTGGCTACACAGGCAGTCTCTAGCTGCCCAGCACCTGGCCCTGGGGTGATCAGAGCAGCGAGATAGTGTCCCAGACTGCAGGATCCTGATCAAAGGAGCTCCAGCCTGGTAGGTTTGCATATCAAAGGCCTGCTGGCAGGCAAGTTGTTTGTGATCTCCAGGAATTAGCAAACCCTGGGAGAGGCAGTCTCTCTCTGGGTCCTCAAAGGCATCATAAAATACAGAAAATAAAAACATAATTAATGCAACTTTTTCCAGTGGTCATATTGCATTTGAATTACAAAATGTTTTATGAGTAGTATCATTAGTCTTATTGCTATACATGGTCTTCCTGTCTATACCCTTCTTTTGAGTCATTATCAACATAATGTTAAATTCAGTCCAGAGAAAGCATTAAAGAATCCTCCACAGAACCTCACAAGGGGGTCCTGCACATTCTCCTCAAACATTCACCAGGGTGCGGCTCTGTGGCGCCAGCAGCACGGCCCCAGCAAGCTGGTGTGCATAGAAAGCTGTGTTTCTATCGTACTTGATGCTACAGAAACAGTTTCAACAAGCACAGCTCATCCAGTGCCCTGGATAAAAGAAGGGAGAAAGAGCGAGATGTGAGTGCCAGTGTGGATGCCATAAGCCATGAGGAGAGAGCTGGCCTCCCTGCGGGCCCCTCTGTTCCTTACTTCGAGGGTGGGGAGAGGCTCCTCAGTGTCCTCTGGGAACCTGGCTGCTCAGGAGGATGTCCTTAGCAAACCCCAGAGCAGGGCTTCTAGCCCTAGAAAAGGACAGCATTTTACCTCACCAATGGGACTCACAGACGCATTTATCAAATTGTTATTATTTCACAAAGTAACACTCAATTTTACACATTTTTTTTGTTTCCTAATGCTGTCTATAACCTACCAAACTGATTTCACAAGCCGTCATGGGTTTTAACCTGCAGTGTGAAAAAGCTCCTCTAAAGAAACGCAAAGCCTTCCAGGAGACTCAGTGAGACGCCACGGCCCGTATCTACAGGTCATTTATTTTTAACTAAATATATTTACTATTTTTATAAAAATGACATATTTTCCATGTAAAAATTCAAACAATGTGAAATCCCCCCAAAAAGGAGAAAAAAATAAAACCTGTCTCAGACCTGAAGACACTTACCACTTTTTTTTTAGTGACCTTGCTTTCGGAATACTCCCCTGCACATATAGACATGGATATACATACTCTATACATCCCAGTGTACAATGGGCGTTGTAGGATACTGTCCAGGGTATAGGATACTATACATGCCGTTCTATGATCTTGTTTCATGATTAATGGCATTCAAGTCTTTTCATTTTCATCACTATCTTTAAAGGTTAGTGTTTTATTGTAAGGATCTCCAATAATTTGCTCTACCAATTCACTATTGATAGGCATTTGGGATGCTCCCATAGTTTTACAATTATAAATGATACTTTCATGAACATCTTTGCATATGTATCTCCTTACACTGCTGTAATTTTCTACTTATGGTAAACTTGGAACTGGACTCACTGATTCAGAGAGTAAACACGTTGATATTTAATACATCGTGCCAAACTGCCCCCAAATGCTATGACGACTCTCCCTAATAGCACTTAGGATTGTCCGAATCCTCACAACATCTCTAACACTGGCTTTGTCCATTTAAAATTTTTTTCAATACAATAAGAGAAAATATCTTATTGTTGGTATTCATATTTTTTTAACTTTTAGTGAGGATGAGTATCTTTGCATAGGCTAATTGTACATTTGTCTCTTTTGTATGTTTGTGGGTGCAAATTACCTGTTCAAACCCTTCACCCATTTTTCTCTTTTGGGTTGTTCTTGTTCTTTTCTGATTGATTTGGAAGCAGCAATAATGTTTAGTGGTTGAGCATGAGCTCAAAGTCAGACTGTCCAGGTTCAACCTCCTGTCACCTTTTTAAATCTGCATGAGCCCAGGCAAGAGTTGAGCTCTCCATGTCTCTGTTTGTTCATTTGTAATCTTGGGTAGTAGTTATGGTAATGATACCTCCTTCTTAGAGTTGTGAGTATTACATGTGTTAGCGAGTCCAACATCCATAAGCCAGTGCCCGGCACATAGTAAGTATTCAATAATACTATGTTAAGGATAGGGTGAAAGTCAAGGTATTTTGACAGTTGTGTTGGCATGGGCATCAACCCATTAGGGTGGAAATCAGCTGCATCACTGGAGCTGCATCCTGAAGTCACTGTCTGAGTCTGTATTGTGCTGCTGCAGTAGAATACCACAGTCTAGGTCATTGATAAAGAACAGAAGAGATTCATTTCTTACAGTTCTGGGGGGTGGGAAGTCCAAAGTCGGAAGGACTTCGTCTGGCAAGCACCCTCTTGCTGTGTCATCCCGTGGTGGAAGATGGAAGGACAAGACTGCAAGAGAGCAAGAGACAGAGAAGGGGGAATGAACTCAGGAGCCCACTGCCACGATAACTAAACCACTCCCAAGATAAGTAACTGGCCTTCACAATAACTAACCCACTCCCAAGGTGAGTAACTGACTCCCACAATAACTAACCCACTCCCAACATGAGTAACTCACTCCCTCTGGGGTGTGGGAAGTCCAAAGTCGGGAAGGACTTTGTTCATAAGCACCCTCTTGCTGTGTCATCCGTGGTGGAAGATGGAAGGACAAGACTGCAAGAGAGCAAGAGACAGAGAAGGGGGAATGAACTCAGGAGCCCACTGCCACGATAACTAAACCACTCCCAAGATAAGTAACTGGCCTTCACAATAACTAACCCACTCCCAAGGTGAGTAACTGACTCCCACAATAACTAACCCACTCCCAACATGAGTAACTCACTCCCGGGATAACTAACCCACTCCAGAGGTGAGTCACTCACTCCCAGGATAACTAACCTACTCCCAACATGAGTAGCTCACTCCCAGGATAACTAATCCACTCCCAACATGAGTAACTCGCTCCCACAATAACTAACCCAATCCCAACATGAGTAACTCACTCCCACAATAACTAACCCACTCCAGAGGTGAGTCACTCACTCCCAGATAACTAACTCCACTCCCAACATGAGTAACTCACTCCCACAGTAACTAACCCACTTAACATGAGTAACTCACTCTCAGGATAACTAACCCACTCCAGAGGTGAGTTACTCACTCCCACAATAACTAACCCACTCCCAACATGAGGAACTCACTCCATTAATAACTAACCCACTCCTCAAGGTAAGTAACTGACCTCACACAACTAACCCACTCCCAAAGTGAGTAACTGACTCCCACACAATAACTAACCCATTCCCAACATGAGTAACTCGTCTCACAATAACTAACCCACTCCCAGCATGAGTAACTCACTCCCACAACACCAACTCCACTCCAGAGTGTGAGTCACTCACTCCCAGGATAACTAACCCACTCCCAACATGAGGAACTCACTCCCAGGATAACTAACCCACTCCCAACATGAGTAACCACCCCAGGATAACTAACCCACTCCAGAGGTGAGTCACTCACTCCCAGGATAACTAACTCACTCCTGAGACAAGTAAGTGACTCCCAAGATAACTAACCCACTCCTGAGATAGTAACTCACTCCCACGATAACTCACTCACTCCCAGGATAATTAACTCACTCCTGAGACAAGTAAGTCACTCCCAGGATAACTGACCCACTCCTGAGATTGTAACTGACTCCCAGATAAATAACCCCCTCCCGAGATGATGGCATTAATCCATTGATGAGGACTGAGTCGTCAGGAGCTAATCGCCTCTTAAAGATCCCATCCCTCAGAAGTGTGCATTGGGGATGAAGGTGCTGACACATGAACCTTGGAGGACACATTCAAACACAGCAGACGTTAATCTACACATTCCTGAATGTGGGAAAAGGTAGAGCTGGTCCCAGGGAAGTCAGTGGCAGGGTCCACAGCCTTGGGAGACTCAGACAGGCAGCTGTCTGCCAGCGGGTGCTGGGGCCGTCGTGTTCTAACTCGAAGACCAGCTGAGCAGCCCTCACCAGCCTGGCGTAACCTCCAGTGTGCCACGTATGAGGGAGAAGGCTTCCAGGTTCTCAGTGGTCTTTCACCTTCATTTGCGGTTTTCTAAAGCTTTACGATTTTATGTAATCAGAACGATCTATCTACCTTTGTGCTTTTGGAAGGCCTTAGCCACCGGAGATTATACAAATATTCATTCATGTTTTTGTTCAGTATTTTTCTGGACTCCTTTGAATATGCAAAATCTTTGAGAGTTAATTTCCATTTTCTATGGCTGTTCAGCTTTTTGAGCAGATATATTCTCATTGCCAGAAGTCCTGGTATTCTGTGATTTACAATTTAATTTATATAAATATATATAAAGTTTGTAGCGATGTATAGAAAGTCCTGTTCTGTAGGTTACAGAACAATTTATTTATATATATATATAGTTTATATGCCAGTGTACATAAGTGATCTGTTCTTGAGTTTACGAATTTAATTTATATATGATATATATAAAGTTTGCATGCCGATGTATAAGAGAATACAAACTAAGCAGTTTTAATTTAATTTATATATTATATATAAAGTTTACTTACTTACCAGTATATGAGAAGTCCTGTTCTGGCAGGTTTACAATTTAATTATATAAATATATATAAGTTTGCATGTACGATGTATAGAGTCTATTATGTAGGTTACAATTTAATTTATATAAATATATATAAGTTTACATATACCACGATATATAAACCTGCTGTTTATATCTGTGTAATAAAGACCAGAGTCTTCAGTTGTTGCTATCCAGAAGTTCTGGTGCATGCCGCTCCTGAGGCCCACAGATGAGCCTGAGTCAGTAGGACCATCTCAACTCCTAGTCCCTCCCTGGGCACAAAAGCTCCCCATTAAGCCCCATGAGTGCCTGGATGAATGGCTCTGTGCCACTTCAGCCAAGTTTAGAGACAGGACAGGAAATGTCTGGCTCACCATTTATTCCCAGAGACATTTAGAGCTGAGGTAGAGTGCACCACAGATGGGGAGAGGCGGGAGGGAGACAGGAGAGAGAGATGAGAGATGGAGTTAGAGAGGAGACAGAAAAGGCTTCAGAGAGAGCAGGAGCGAAAGTAATCTAGTCTTTGTACCACAGTGCCTCCACTCCCGGCCATAGCGCTCCACCAGGCCCACAGGGCCCAGGTGCCCAAGGCAGATGGTTCAATTAAATTGAATGTAGTTGAATTACGGGTGGCTGTTTAAGCTCCAGACGCGTGCAGACGTGTCTGTGACTGCTTACTGTGCATCTCCAATCTAGTCATTTGTGTATGTCTCTTTCTCAGCAGGACTGGAAGTCCTCCCAAGCAAGGACCTTCTGATGTTCTCATATCCTTGTCTCCTTACACACACCCAGTTCTGAAGTCTCCCAAATGTCCACAACCAGTGAGGACAGAGCCGTTGCAGCGCCTGGCTGGGGAACTGGGCCAGCTGCAGCCCTGCAACAGCCAGCTTCCAGGCTCCTCCCAAGCAGGTCTCTCAGCCTCACTTGCTGACAAGCTCGCTGCGTCCCAACCAACACCACCATCAGCAAGCCTCCATCCCACATTATTAATTTATATAAATATATATAAAGTTTACATGTACCGATGTATAGACATAACATTTATATCTGTGTAATAAGGAATAAGAGGTCTTCAGTTGCTCCAGAGTTCTGTGGTGCATGCCCAGCTCCCTGAGGCCCACAGATGAGCCTGGGTCCCGTGGGACACGCTCAGAGCTCCCTGAGTCCCTCCTGAGCACAGCTCCCCATTACGTACACGGTGCTTACTGGATGAATGGCTGTGTCTCCCACACACTTCAGTAGGTTCCACAAGGACAAGGACAGAGAATGTCTCGGCTCACCATTCCAGCCCCAGAGACAAGCCCAGAGCTGAGAGTAGAGTGCACACCACAGATAGAGAGCGGGAGGGAAGACAGGGAGAGAGAGAGATGAGAATGAGCGGGGGGTGGGGAGACAGAGAGCTAGAGAGAGCAGGACAGAAAGTAGCATCAGTCTTTGTGCCTTTGTTCCTCCCCACTCCCAGCCCATCGCTCCACTGGGCCCACCCAGAGATAGGTGCCCAGAACAGATGGTTCAATTACGTTGAATGTAGTTGAATTGCAGGTGGCTGTTCAGCTCCCAGACCCCAGCGTGCAGACGTGTCTGTGACTAACTGCCTGTGCATCTCCAATCTAGTCATTTGTGTATGTCTCTTTCTCTCATGAGACTGGAAAGTCCTCCAAAACAAGGACCTTCTGTCATTCATTCTCATATCCTTGTCCTCCTTACACTGAGTCTGAGCTCAGAAATGTCTGGCAAATGAGAGACAGAACCGTGCAGCGCCCTAGCCTGAGCCTAGGGCAGCACAGCCTGCAGCAGCCCAGCTTCCAAGGCTCCTCCCAGCAGGTCTCAGCCTCAGCAGCTCGCTCGTCCCAACCACCATCAGCACGCCTCCATCCCACATTAGCAATAGTTATTGGATGTGCAAATTCCCATCAATGGAGTGACAAAGACTCAATTAAAGAAGGAGATCTGAAGTCAAAGCTGTCACCTCAGAGAAATCAGCCTTGACAGATAATAACAGCAGCTCTGCAGGGCAAGCACTCAGAGGTAAGGGCTGGAGGGACCCCTTCCCTCACCCCTGGCCCACTGTGTGTGGGAGAAGGGTGGGATCTGTCAGGGACTGCTGTCACCTCCCTGCCCGGGCAGGCCCTGAGGAGGGCCGGGAGCCACCAGGAAGCTCTCTGCACCATCCACCTCCTCCAGCCCTCTGAGAAAGCAGAGCCTGAGCAGAGACCCAGAGAACGCTTGGCTGAGCTGGCACCACTCAACAAGCAGCCTCCTGCGAGGGGCCGTGAGAGGGCACTGACCCTGCACTACCGCTGCACATCCGCACAGGCCGGACATCAGGCCAGAGCGCAGGGCGGCCGCTGGCCATGTCTCACGGCTGCCAAGCCCAGGACAATGGTGGAGCTGCTCGACTTCCCCATGCCTCCACCGCCCCGTTTATAAAACAGGACCCTTTCCAAGAACAAGGCAGCTGTGGTCAGAGGAGAGAAGCACATACTCCGTGCTTCCACGTTCACCCAGCACCAGCTGACCAGGGGCTCACCAGGCCACCCTCTCTTCCTACTTCTCCCACGCTGCCCCAGCAGGTCAGGCCCTGGCTTCCCCTCAAGCATCCTCAAGCCAGTATGACACATGCCGAGCCTGGCGCTTCAAAACCTGTTCTCTCGCAGTTCCCACAGAACATTTTAGCCTCATCAGCCCACCCTTGAACTACCCTGGGTCCCAAACCCAGTACTGTAGTCCTACACCCCATAAACAGTTCTCACAGTTCCCACCCGATTTCATTCCCTTAGCAATAGTTATTGGATGTGCAAATTCCATCAATG